GAAAGAAAATGTACACTCGATTAAGTATGTGGAAGACGAAAGTCTACCCAAGTGAAAATGAGGATCATCAAAACAACATTGTTTTTTGTTAACATAAAAAACACAAACAGAAAACATGTTGTCACCAAGACTGCATCAATGAGTGATATTTTGGATTAGTTTTCTAATATTTTACTTCAGAAAATTATTCTCTTCGACATCAGTTAGCAATACATGAAAATATCTAAAACTCATATTTTACTAAAGTTTTTAAATCCACACTACTTTTCAAAGGCACCATTCAATTTCCAAATTATGAAATTTAGAAGAGTTTAAAGTTAAAATTTCTTTCTCAAAATCCATTTTCGCAGCCGATAGCCAATTTTCATAGGAGAATGCTAATGTTTTTATATCTTAAGATTGTCATGAGCGGCACTTCTCTCTTTCCATTCTTATTACGAAACATTATTCTTCTTGGCCGTCGTCTTGTTCATTGGCGATACAAAATTGTATTCGACTATATCCTATTGAACCATCATCATCTTTCCACATTGCTCTTTCCAACACTTCAAACACGAATCTATCTTTGTATTACTTTTCTTCTGCACTTATTGGCTGTTTCGATCTCACTCATTCTCGACATGCACAATTCGTACTTAGCACAATTTGCATCGGGTACCCGATTACTTATTTTCATTTTTCACGCCATTAATGCCCGTTTCGCTGGCTTCCAAACCTTCGATATAAGTCACTTCACTTCTGCCACTCTAATTATCTATTTATTATTAATGATCACAAAGCCACAGATGCTCTGTGCTTTGACTAAATCACAATTTGAACTTACTTGGATTTCTCTGCGAGAAAATGAGAAAGTAAAAGAAGAACTGCAACAAGATTCTCTAATTTCAAACTCAGTCGATAACGTTCCAATACTTTGCAGACGAAAGTCTTCGACAATTTTCAATGAGGCCTTCGTAAAGCGTCACATAAACCTCTATTTAAGTAATCAACGTTTGGCAGTAAAAGAGCTGGTAGACAAGGCCCAAAAGTCCGGAGATGACGATCCCAAGCGTCGACATATTTCTCAGTTATATTACCGTCTCTTCCTCCTCAAATTTATTCAAGCCATCTTCAAGCATGCCATGTACACCTTTGAACAAACTCACACTTGGCTTTTCATCTGTATCTTCCTTATTTGTGCTATTGAACACGATCGAATTGCTATTGATCCGAACATCACCGTCTTCAAAGTTGTCTTCGAAACTGTCTCTGCTTTTGGATGTGTTGGTTTGACGCTCGGATATCCTGGTGTCGCGTCCAGTTTTGCTACTATTCTTTCACCAACCAGTAGAGTGATACTGGGTCTTACCATGCTACTAGGCCGACATAGAGGACTACTTGCTTCAATGAAGGATCAGGAAGAAATCGAGCACAGCGCGAATGATTTGTTAGAAAAATGGAAAGAAGAAGAACTTCATCAATGTGAAATATCTGACAAAGAAAAAATGCTTATTACTAAATTCTAAATTTTTTCATTTTTGCTTTTTTTTGTACTAATTACTGTAACCCTAAACCTAATCTGTATTAATTTTTATTCTATAGACATCGATGGGTATATCAGCCATTTTGGCTCATTCTTCTCTTTGTGTTGTTTCTCGTTCATAAATATATGAAAGAATAAACCAAAAACAGCCCAAGACTATTATACAGCTTGTCCAAGCATAACGCTGTTACGTTTTTGACACATTTCTTTTCAATTATCTCGGGAACTATGAAAGCTAGAAAGTTGTTTCAGACGTCATTCAACGCGGCCTGTCGTGCTCTATTTATGTTGTGAAAATCAATCTTTTTGGTTGAAGCTTCGAGTTTCCAGAAAGATTTTCTATTGCGTAACGCTGTTACACAAAGGGACCCTAAATTCATTATCCTCCTGTTTGAACTCTAATTTCCTGCGAAAGCCATCGTCCAAATGAAATGCTCCGAGAGTGAGTCTTGTAGAGCATCGAACGAGCTTTCGAAAGCCAAACAATTTTTGGGGTGAGTTGGTGTGGGGTGTGGGTGTGGAGTGGGTGTGGGGTGTGGGTGTGGCTGGGTGTGGGTGGGGTGTGGGTGGGTGTGGGGTGGGGGTGTGGCGTGTGGCGTGTGGCGTGTGGGGGTGGAGGTGGAGGTGGGGTGGGGGTAAAGGTGTTGGTGTGACTGTTAGTCATCAGTTCACTCAGAAGCCAAACGCACACCCCTACCCGCAAAGCTCCCCCCCACACACCGCAACTCACACTCACCCACGCCTACACTCCACGCCCACACCCACACACACGCACACCGCAACCCACACTCACACTCACACCCGACCCACACTCTTTTTCTTATTGTCTCAGGAAATTCCCTATATACTTTTTGTAATTCATGTTTTTTCTTTTTTTTTTCTATGATTCATTAGATTATTATATTTTTATGTATTTTACAGTTTAAGATGAGAATTTAATTATGTTGATATCTTAGGTATCTATTATAATTAATGGTGATTTACCAAAGCGTTTGAATAAAACTTGAATAACATGAAAATCTGACTATATAAACCATATCTTATAGTATGACTAATAGTAGTATAATTCAACAACATAGGGCTTCAATATCTTTTTTATTTTATACCGTTTTTTGGTCCGAACATTTCTGCATATGAGATACCAATTTGTTTCTCCTAAGATTTACTTTAGATCCGAAATAATTTGAGCAAGACTGTAGGGATATGTTACAAAAAATGACTTTTTTCAATCATTCGATTAATTAGAAAAATGCTTAATTGAGCACCTTGAATATCACCTTATTTTACACGTAGAGATTTAGGTAAGAGAGATGGTAACTTTTCTTGAAGAAGTATTAGCCAAATTTGTACTGCAAAACTTATGGAGGTTTCATAAGCAGTCTCCAGTTAAAATAGCTGAAGTGATCCAAATTACCCTAAGAAAAATTGCTAAGCTGATCCGAATTACCCCAAATGCATTTTTACCTTTAAAAAAATGGTTGATAGAGGTCTCAGTATTTTAAATATTCCATTACAACGGTTTCTTCATTCATCGATATTTTCAGATCCCATAGAAGACACTTTGGGCTATCGAATGGTATGATTTGTTTTCAAATAAAAATGAATAAGAAATGAGTTAAGAGATAGGAAAATAAATTCTCGTCATTTCTGCTGGAGTGATCTGAATTACCCCAATTGAGGTAATTCGGATCAGCTCAGACTCCCTCTCGCTGTTTTTGCTATTACTTTTTTCTAGTGCACGCTTTTTCGGAGATTCTTTCGTCAATTGATAGTAGACATTTTGGTCTAGTTATGATATAAAATTCACTTTTATAGGACGTATAACGGATGATAACGAGCAAAATTAAGATGAGTTTTCAAATTTTTGATCCGAATTACCCCAAACGACTCTACCTTTGTTACGCAATGAATATCAGGCTCTTTTGATGGGACTATAGTAAGTCTTTTTTGTATTATTGCTGTTGATAGCATAACAAAGCCATAGAGCTGAAGAGATATACTCAGTTGTTGATTTCAACTAATTATAAGAGTTTCGTACAGAAAAAGACTCCCTACACGTCTATCTGTGTATTTTTTTGACTCTCCGTTCTCGATACTATCGCAATAGAAAACGATAACTTTCAATGCTTATGTCTAGTAAGTAATAAAGAAAAAAGACAACTCGCACAAGACTACACAAAAGCGATGCGAAACGATTTCCTCAACAGTTGATCTTGTTCTATCGAAGGTTTCCATTATTTCTCCTATTCATAACAACTGACTGCAGACCATCTCGCCAATTTTAATTATGTCGGGTAAAATATGGGAGCCAAACCGTCAAAATCAGTGTTTTGTGGAACTTACCGAAGAAGAAAGAAAACTCATATTGAAGACGCAAAATCATTTGGATAATCTCAAGACATCTATTTCCCTGACATAGTTCGAACGTCTTTCTAGCAACTTACCGTTCTCTAGAACATCGCAACACAAAGTACAGATTTTGTTACAGTGAAAAATATGCAAAATATGAAGGTCGAATGCGTACGGAAAGGACAACATAAATACTATGCTTCGCACCGCATTAATTAAAATATCAGCTGCAATTGTGAAATCACTGTTCTAATCAACGTGAAAAGTGCTCACAAGAAAAGTGACACGTAATTCGCGGAAACTTGAAACGTGATATTCTAACTTTTTATTGTTGTTTCTCTATTTTGAGAAGATAAAACTAATTAGTTATGATGCAACTTTTTCCCACTTGTATGATAAAGCAGTGTTTTTTTTTCAACGAATGAATCATCTACAGATGCAGTATAAAAGATTGCAGCACGTTGTTTTTTTTCTCATTTTTCTGTTCGCGTGATTACAATGTTATTGCATGTGTTTGGTGTAATACGTATCGTACCCTATACAAAAAAAAATCAATGAGATAAGCAACTAAACGATAACACATTATTTTTACCGACTTTTAGTTTTTTTTTTTTTACACAACTTTCCGGACAATTATTCGCTTACCAGAACTACTTAGTGATCATTAGAAACTCATTGCATTTTAGATTTATATTTGATCCTTCTGAGTCATTTGTAACCGTTAAACCTTGTCAAGTTGTTACAGAACTTCGGTGATTTGGATTGATTTCAATTTGAAATTTACACTGTAAGCATTGTTTTTCATGAAATCTGTGTAATACCACTAAGAATGTAGAAAACTTCTTCATCTCAAATTCAGTAGTTTCTTTGTAGATATGACAATTAGTTTTCAAAGAAGTTCAGTATTACTACGAACTGTCACCTAAGCACAAGTTGCATTGATCCTCGTTGAAAGTCATACATATATATTCTTTTAATTATTAATAAGAATCTAAAAAGTACACAGAAAATTTTTTTTATAAATATCAATATTTACATATCAAAGCTAAGTATAGGTGTTTATGAGAGCCTTCAACAATAGAATAGTTTATCATTATCTCTTTAGTTTTAGATACTTAATCATCGACAGATGGGTAATTCTCTAGCTAATGGAAATAATTCAACAGCAGCCTCGACTGCTATTATATCGAAAGACCTATCTTCATTTGTTTATCAAGATTTAATTTTTCATGTTCAATCAATTCAATATCAAATGATTGAAATCGCCAAATATCTTGATGATCGATGGAAAAATGAACAGAAGATACAAAAAGAATTGAAATCACGTTCAATAACATTTGTTGATCCATATGGCAATTCAATAACTAATAAATATATGGATCATGAGTTAATCAGTACATTGTTTATGAAATACAAAAAGAATTATGTACCAAAATATTTACAAAAGTGGATTAAAATTGGAACAATGAATCAAAATAGTATTTCTACATGTACGGATTCAGAACTGAAATCATCTGTATTTGAATATCCAGATGGTTATCAATTTATTACATATGGTGAAGTGAAAATCTTGATAGTATATTGTGAAGATATGTCGCCTAAACAATTGATCCTATCAGTTCTTCTAACAGATACTATAGAAAAGATTCAAATGCAAATACAGAAACTTCGAAAATTGCCAAACATAG